ATTTCCGACCAGAATCCGATCGAGAACATGTGTGGAATCTTGCCTCGTCGTGTCTATGCAGAAAACCTCCAATACCAAACATTATTTTATTTCCAAGAAGTGATTATCGATGAATGGCGGTCAATCGATGAAGACTTGCGAATAATTTTGATCAACAGTGTGATGGATAAAATTTTTGAACTTATTCAAAATAAGGGACGCCCTACCCATTATTTATAAAAGTTATTTTATTTTATTTAAGTTTTAAAAAAAAAAATTTTCTAATTTTGTAAAAGTGCGTCTATAGTTATGCAACACCAGCAATTTTGAAAGTGCAGAATTCGGCGAAACCATAAAGAATAAATTAATTATTTTTGTTGAATAATATGTGTTTTTGATCGTTTTATTGTGAACAATAACTTAATGGGTCCATTTTATTTGTCAACTAACATACCAATTGAATTAAGGGTGCGTCTATAGTTATGATACGCAGTGTATATCGCCTTGTCTCATTTTTTTGTGCACGGTACACAGTGTGCTGAGGTTCCAATCATTGGGCATGCATTCTTCTAACCAAATTGTACTAATAAGCTGGTGCATGCTCCTTACCAGCATCTGACCACCAGTTTTGAATAGTTCGGCTTGTCACCCATCAGCACCTGCTGCTTTATTGTACTTCAGCCGATTGATTGCTATCCTGACCTCATCTTGGATAGGTGGTATACACTCTATACCATCATCTCGTTTTGGTTCTGGGGTAACCTCTTCACCGCTACTATTTGATACCTCAGCACGCTGTCTGTATCTGGCACCAGGTTTCCTTCTTCATCTCTACAGGAGGATGTGCTGCACCAAAACCTTCGGTTTGGTGTTTTACTCGTGGGTAAAATTTCCGGACTTCATTCTGACTCCTGTAAATCTCCATTTGCTCACGTTCACGTTTTTCTTGTTCTTTCTTCTTTTTTTTCTGAAAAAACGTTTCTCCTCTCTCCTTTTCTCCCGATAGTTCTCCATCGCATTACATGTTGCTACTGTCCGCAGGGTTGCCCTATACGCTGCGTTTTTCATATCAGTAGCATTACGACACTCCTGATCGTACCACGGATTTCTTTATGGTGGTCATTGGTACCAAAGTGTTGCTTTTGCTGCAGTTTGTAGGGAGTGGACAATTCTCTGCCACTGTGCTTCTATATTATTATCGGGACAAGGGGTGCGTGCATTTGTTAACCAGTTGGTTAAGTTGAGCGGATTAGGCTTCTGCTATCTGTTGTGTTTGCAGCTTTTCGACGTCGAGTTTCCGTGTTGTGTTAGATCGCACCTTTGCTGCAACATTAAGACGAGTGCGAACCTTGGCTGGTACAAGGTAGTGGTCCGAATCGATATTCCCTCCCCGGAGCGATCGAACGTCTAATAAATGGATGAATACATTCCTTCTATCAAAACATGATCGATTTGATTTCTCGTTGTTCGATCGGGAGAAATCCAAGTGGCCTTGTGTATATCGAGATGCTTGAATCTGGTGCTGGTAACTACCATGCTTGTTTGCTGCCGCGAAGTCAATCAACCTCATGCCGTTGTCTGCTGTTTCTTCATGGAGACTAAATTTTCCGACGGTGGGGCCAAAGATATTTTCCCTTGCGATTTTTGCATTAAAATCTCCTAGCAGAATTTTAATGTCATGGCCAGGGCAACGGTCATATGCTGTTTCAAGGAGCTCATAAAATATGTCTTTGGTCTGCTCAACTTTGTCTTCTGGCGGAACATGGGCGCAAAAAAGGCTGATGTAGAAGAGCTTCGCTTTTATGTGGATTATAGCAATTCGCTCATCTACTGGAGTGAATTTGGAGACGAGGTCTTTTAGTCTCCTGTTTATCATAATCCGCAGCTAAATTCACGTCTCGTTTAATGGCAGCTTTTACATGGCCTAATCATCTGATTTACTTACGCCAGTCCCTTTCCATCGCATTTCCTGTAAGGCAATAATATCAGTGTCCGCCAAAGCGAACACTGCGCCTGTTCTGTACAACGTGCACACATTTCAAGTGTAGATCGTGGTCCTTTATACGTTTGCTGGGGTCGTCAACATTAGGGGGGTTGGGTTTTCTATTTCTTTGCTTTTTCATAGTAGGTCGGTTTTCCGAGTGTGGGCAACTAACCCGACGCCTCAACCCATTTTGTTTTTTATAGTTCTTATGGGTGAACTCGCGGCACATATTAGCTCACTATATTATCGGGTGATGAAAATAGCTACCACAGGCGGCACCACGGGGATGTCAGTGTCCACAATTGAGATGAAAGAGGGACCAAGATAAGCCTGGACTTCGCCATGTTAAAGCCAATCAGAGCCGTTGCTTGGTATCTATCATCCTCCACGCCTGTATATGTCCATGAAAAAATATTCTTTGAAAAATCAACGCCTATGGAAATACTTGAAAAAACATTTTTAAAAAATCCACGCCTATAGAAATACTTGAAAAAATATTTTTAAAAATTCCACGCCTATACAAGTACTTGAAAAAATATTGACCCGATTTGATTTAAGTTCAAACCCATAATGTATAAAAAAAATTCCAACTAATACCATAAAAATTGTTAAAGATAATAAAACATATCCTGTTATTAAAAAAAATAAATAATAAGGCTTAATAAAAAATTTAGCTTTTAAGAAGTGTTTTCAGAACGTGCCGGCTAGCTTGCTGATTGCTTGCGCATTTTGTATATTTCATAATTCTGCTGCATATAATTATTTCTTTGCAGGATGCTGTTTCTCTACAAATACGCTTGATTGCTTGCTTGCAGTTTCATTTTGGGAATAATTTACAAAAAAGCCATTCAAGGCAGTCGAGTAGGCGTAATAGCTGTAGTAGTAGTAGAAAACACGCTTTGTTTGCCAGGCATAGAGTGTAATATTTTATGTAAGCTTAACTTGTGTCCACATTCAAGTTGTTGTAGCTGTTGTTGTTGTATTTCTGATTGAGAGTTTCTTAGCTGTTACCAGCCATCGTTTCAGTTTTGATTTGAGTGGTGATGGTGTTTCATTTGAATGTCATATTTGTTGGACAGTGTATTTGTTTCTGAATGCATCAGCGTCAGCTGTTTGGTTTTGTAGTTCATATATTTTTTTTGTTTTGAATTTTTTTATTGAGTTTTGTGAAGTTTTGGATTTTGTTTTTTGAGGAAAAAAAATTATAAAAAACATAAAAAGGCAAACAACGACAAAATATATGCCAAAATATATATTGTTTATTTAGGTATTCATACCAAATTCATTTCTTACATATATATTATGTATGTATGTATTTACAACTGTACAAACATATTTTCGTTTCACTATACATCTTTTCGGATCGCTTTCTGTTCACAAAACCTATTAATATCTTCTCATAGAGAAACTAAACATTTTCTTATTAGAAAAATAGAGATTAAGATATTCTTATTAGAGAATTTTACGATGTTCTCTTTACAAGAGCTTAGAATATTCTTATTAGAAAACTCAAAGCATTAGAAGTGCTGAAGATCTTCTTATTATAAGAGCTTTAGGTATTCTTTATAGAATGGCTCAAGGTATTTTTAATAGAATGACTCGAGGTATTCTTAATAGAATGGCTCAAGGTATTCTTAATAGAACAGCTCAAGGTATTCTTATTAGAAATAGCCGAAGTTCATCTTATAAAGTCCTCGAGTTTAAGGTCCTATTTTTAGAATAGCTCAAGGTATTCTTATTAGAATAGCTCAAGGTATTCTTATTAGAAGATCTTATGATCTTCTTATTGGAAGAGCTCAAATATTTTATTAGATTTTTTTAGAAGAGCTCAATGGTCTTCTTATTAGAATAGTTTAAGATCGTCTTATTATTAGAAGACCTCGAAATTTTCTTATTAGGAATTATGAAAGCCTTCTTACTAGAAAAGCTCAAGGCCTTAGAGGAGTTCTAATTATAAGAGCTTAAAATCTTATTAGAAGAGTTCTTTATCTTCTTATTAGAAAATCTCAAGGTATTCTTATTAGAATAGCTCCAGGTATACTTATTAAAATAGCTCCAGGTATTCTTATGAGAATAGCTCCAGATATTCTTATTAGAACATCTCAAAATCAAAGGTCTTCTTATTAAGAGAGCTCAAAAGTATTCTTGTTGGAGGAGATCAAAAGTCATCTTATTAGAATAGCTCAAGATCTTTTTATTAGAAAAGCTTAAGATCGTGGCATTATTAGAAGTGCTCGAAGTCATCTTATTAGGAATTATGAAAGGCTTCTTATTAGAAAAGCTCAAGGTGCTCTTATTAGATGAAGTCAAGGAGATCTAATTAGAAGAACTTAAGATCTTATTAGAAGAACTTAAGTTCTAGGTAGAAGAACTTAAGATCTTATTAGAAGAGTTCTTATAAGAAAAGCACAATATATTCTAATTAGAAAAGCTCAATATCTTCTTATTAGAATACCTCAAGGTCTTCTTATTAGAAAAACTCAAGGTCTTCTTATTAGAAAAACTCAAGGTTTTCTTGTTAGAAACGTTCAAGGTCTTCACATTAGAAGAAGATCTCCAGGACTTATTGAAAATCACCAGGTTTTCTTATTAGAAAAGATAAAGATCTTCATATTAGAAAAGAGTTCAATGTTTCCTTATAAGAAGAAGTCCTAGATGCCTTCTCATTAGGAGAAGTCATATTAAAAGAAATCAATTTCATCGTATTAGAAGAAGGTCTAAAGGTATTCTTATTAGAAGCAGATTTCCAGTTCTTTTTAATAAAAGAGCTCAAGATATTTTTATTAGTGATACTGAAGGTATTCTTATTAGAAGAATAGACCAATGATTATTCTTATTAGGTATTCTGAATTATTTCTGTTTATTTTGTACTTGACTACGATCCGGAAAGATGTTCTGGCCCTAATAATTTCACGTTTCAAATAATAAGTTTAGATCTTCCGAAAATCGTGTGGTGTCGTCGAAATAATTCCCCGAATATTATCAGAACAATTTTCCCCCTCTCAAATATTTTAGTTTCTTAGACTAGCCGACTTACCTGATTTAGGACTCACTAAATCTTTGGTCTTATTATTCATACGTCTGGGTCCAGTACCGCCGGAGCCCATAGGGCCTGAATTTGGTCCCGAACCAGGTGTACCACAGCCACTGACACCTCCTGATTGGCCTGAAAGCAACAAAAAAGTTTTATATTTTTTCCCAAAATCAACGCAACCTCATTCCCAAACCTGGCAGCCTTGGTGGACGGGGCTGTTCAACCGGAAGCACACGTCTACGTTTCTTTGGCAGTTTAGCACGTGCCTGTGTATGCGAATAGTACATGGCAAAATTGCTGACAATAACGGGCACTGGCAGTGCAATGGTTAGCACACCGGCTAGAGCACACAACGCACCCACAAACATGCCAATATAGGTCTTTGGCACCATATCACCATACCCGACTGTGGTCATCGTCACCAGCGCCCACCACAGACCCAACGGTATACTGTTGAAATCATTGTGCGGATTCGTTTGTATGCGTTCCGCATAGTAGACCAGACTGGCGAATATAACAATACCGAGGACTAGGAAAAATACCAGCAGTGTCAATTCTTTGGCAGAGGCTCTAAATGTTTGTATTAATATTTTCAATCCCGACGAGTGCCGTGTCAGCTTAAATAGTCGCATAATGCGTATGATCGAGAAGAATTCCAAAATATCGGCATTCTCCAGATGTGAGGCGAAACGTTGCAACACCAAATCGATGTAGAAACTCAGGGTGGCAATGTAATCGATGATATTGACAGATGACTTGATGAAATTACATTTATTGGGTGAGGATATAAAACGGACCTAAAAAAACGGCATGTGAAAATGTGGATCCAATGGGTTTCCTTTGCTGGTTACTTACTAATATCTCAAAGGTAAACCAGGCATTACAGACACACTCAATGTAGAAAAAAGCTATGTGGGCATTTGTTTGTGTCTTCTCCAGAAACCAGCCGGAGCTGCCATTGGCCGTCTGCACTGAATTGTTACGGACATAGGGTACCCTCATGTCCGGGTGGGTTTTCAAGCAGAACGACAATATTGAAATGCATATAAAGAATACCGATACGACACCAATTATCTGAAAGAATTTTGAAATGGAAAATTAAAGGGAATAACAAATTTTGTCAAGAATGAGGAAAGGTGTACCTTGGCCGCATTCGAGCTATATGGTTCATCAAATAATGACCATATTCGTGGTTTCGTTTCCTGCCACCACGATAATGTTCCCTTGTAATAGTCTTCTTCGAAACCAAATTTTCGAGCTAATTCCTCTTCGGACGGTTTTTCTGTATCGAGGTCTAAGCGATCTAATACGGCTAGGGTTTCTTGAGTGTCACGATGCTGTTCGATAAGATAAAAATAAATATATAATATAGCAGTATTAAGTAAGAAGAATACAGGGCTGCGGAATCTAGATTCGAAAATAAATCCGCAAACTTGCAGCAATGTGTTTTTACTCACCTGGGTGTAGGTCATCCAACAACATGGTTCTACTTGATTTGAATCTAAACCCCAAAATTCCAGCTCCTCTTCGAACAGTGGACCGCATACGTCCGTGGGATAATGCAGTTTTCCGGTTCTATAGAAAAAAGGTGTGGATTAAAAAAATATTTTTTTGAAAAGGACCAACAGAAGGCGTGGATTTTTTAAAGAATAGTTTTTCAAGGACTATCAAAGGCGTGGATTTTTTAAAGAATAGTTTTTCAAGGACTATCAAAGGCGTGGATTTTTTAAAGAATAGTTTTTCAAGGACTATCAAAGGCGTGGATTTTTTAAAGAATAGTTTTTCAAGGACTATCAAAGGCGTGGATTTTTTAAAGAATAGTTTTTCAAGGACTATCAAAGGCGTGGATTTTTTAAAGAATAGTTTTTCAAGGACTATCAAAGGCGTGGATTTTTTAAAGAATATTTTTTCAAGGACTATCAAAGGCGTGGATTTTTTAAAGAATATTTTTTCAAGGACTATCAAAGGCGTGGATTTTTTAAAGAATATTTTTTCAAGGACTATCAAAGGCGTGGATTTTTTAAAGAATAGTTTTTCAAGGACTATCAAAGGCGTGGATTTTTTAAAGAATAGTTTTTCAAGGACTATCAAAGGCGTGAATTTTTTAAAGAATAGTTTTTCAAGGACTATCAAAGGCGTGGATTTTTTAAAGAATAGTTTTTCAAGGACTATCAAAGGCGTGGATTTTTTAAAGAATAGTTTTTCAAGGACTATCAAAGGCGTGGATTTTTTAAAGAATAGTTTTTCAAGGACTATCAAAGGCGTGGATTTTTTAAAGAATAGTTTTTCAAGGACTATCAAAGGCGTGGATTTTTTAAAGAATAGTTTTTCAAGGACTATCAAAGGCGTGGTTTTTTTAAACAATATTTTTGAAAAGTTCCAACACAAGGCGTGGTTTTTTTAAACAATATTTTTGAAAAGGACCAACACAAGCCGTAGATTTTGGAAAAAGTATTTTCCAAGGACTATCAAAGGTGTGGATTTGGAAAAAGTATTTTCCAAGGACTATCAAAGGCGTGGATTTTGGAAAAAGTATTTTTCAAGGACGAGGATTTTTTAAGGAATTTTTTCTTCAAGGACGAGGATTATTTGAAGAATAATTTTTTCAAGGACAAGGATTTGTTGAAGAATATTTTTTTCAAGGACGAGGATTTGTTAAAGAATATTTTTTTTAAGGACGAGGATTTGTTGAAGAATAATTTTTTCAAGGACGAGGATTTGTTGAAGAATATTTTTTTTTCAAGGACGATGATTTGTTGAAGAATAATTTTTTCAAGTACAAGGATTTGTTGAAGAATATTTTTTTCAAGGACGAGGATTTTTTAAAGAATATTTTAAAAATTATTTTAAAATATTTATTTAAAAATATTTTTAAAAAATTCACGCCTTTTCAAAACCTTTTTAAAGTGTTTAAATAGGCGTGGAATATCCAATATATTAGAAAATTCAAAATCCTATTTTCATGTATAAAAAATAAAATTATTTCATTACTCACCTGTAATAATTTAGCACTTGTGCAAATACGCCCGGATGCCGATCGAAAAAATACTCATTCAGCAGCGGATCATAATTGGCCAGGGCTTCAGTCAGTTTGGACAACCTTGTGGCCGGTATCTTTTTCAGGGTTGCCTTATATGTTTCGTGTCGGATGCCGCCTACATTTAATACCACCCTATTCTCCGAGTCCATATTTATTAGATTCATAGCTGTATGGGAGCGTGAATAATAGGAATTTTTTTTGGGTATATAAGTCATGATGATGATGTTGAGAATTGTGAATCTTGAAAGAGGAAAACAAAAGAACCCGAACGACGGGATATAAGTAAAAACATACCGATACTGACCTTGGATTTTAATGGTTATGTTGTTGATTTGGTTAACTACGTCAAAGCTTGTTGTTGCTGTTGTTGTTAGAAGAGTATTATACTAATGGTGATAAGTAAGCTGATGATGATGATGAAGGCAATGACATTTAAAAATATCCAGCCTCAGATCCAAATGACTCTACAAGTGATTGAGTATTGGTTTTTTTGTGTGTGTTTTTGGGATGATTTTTTATTCGCTACAGGATGTTGTTGTTTTATTTTTTAGTTTGAGTATTCAATTGCAATGAGCATTAGTAGCAAGAAGCATTAACGAATGTTGGCTGGCGCCCCCAGGGCCTGCTTTACGCTGCTGCGACCAATTCGCGTTGCTGCAGTTCAAATCGCTTTGCTTTTCAAATTTTCCTTAGATCAAATCGTTTTTATCAAATCACTGAAATGCAACTTGGAACGCATGGGAACGAATGGATATTAGCTAATTAGGCAAGCCATTGTTGTTGTTGCGGCAGCATTGTTGAACAAGCCTTAACATCTAGCATGGACAGAGGGAGAGGCATACCAGGAGGCGTATGAGTGATAAGCTTTCTTTTTAATCAATTTTCAAGTTTTCTCTCTTTTAGTCTCTGTATTTGTTTATTTGGTTTTGCTTTGCTTTGATTTGTTATTTGTTTTCGTTTTTTTTTTAATAATCTTTGTTATGGTGAAAAAGGGGGTGGTTGGCTGGCTGAAAATAAAAGCGAAAAGACAAATAAATGAATGAATGCCGTTGTTAGTCGAACAAAAAAAATGTTATGGAATTTTGCTACTGCTGTTCCGACTGTTATTATTATTATTTGTTGCTACTGCCGCAGCACGTGTTCTCTCACTCACTCGCCACAACATGGGGTTGTTGAACCAAAACCAACCGAAAATGAATTCAAGCGTTTAGCAAACAAGTATCAAACGCTAAAACAAAATCAGTGAAATCAAAACCAACAACAAGTCGATGGCTAAAAAAAGAAAAACACTAGAACACACACAAACAAAAAAATTGTAGGCATATGGAAGGAGAACGATGAAAAACAAGGGCAAGGGATATAAAGAACATAATATTAATCGTTATATGCCGCCGACTTGTTTGGTTGCCTCTTATAAACACACACACACTTCGTCACATACACACACACACACAAGGCGCAATAAAAGGAAAGTCACTTGGAATTTTGTTGTCTTGGCACATTCACTCTCCCATTGTAACATACTCACAAACAACTGCACTCTCTCTCATACATGTTGGTTTTCACTCTACAAAATCCATACGTATACACACACATATATACTCGTAGATAGTAGCTTTAGCACACTGTTGATAGATTTTCATCCCGATAACTCGCGCGTATTTTTTCGTCTGAGCCTTTCGCTTTACAAGTGGACAGACATGCGCATTTTGCCATTGAATTGCCCATAAGGACACTCAAGTAACCAACTGACTACTACGAGGGTAGAACTGTGGAAAAGTGCTCCGAGAGCATTGCTACATTGTAATGTTCTAGAAATATGTTAAGGGGAGATGTGAAATGTTTTCTATTTATGGAGTACCTTTTGAAGATTTATAGAAGCCAAGGGAATATCCTTAATGGTTATTCTCCATTGATAACCTGTAGAATATATGTTTGGTCCGAAGGCCCTTTGTTGTCTAGGGCTACGAAAATTTCCGGAGGGGTTGGGAAAAATCGAAATTAGATTCCTATAAGAAAATAATTAACAAAGCATGCATTTAATTCATCTAGCTCATATCCGCATTATAGTCCAATTTTAAATAAATTACAACGTCTTTAACCAGTGAGCGGAGAAGTATAGCCGGACGGGTCGACCATATGATACCCTACACAACTTACACGAAAATCTAACTTTCTGCGGTACTACATTCTGAGCTTGGGCAATATTTTGCGATATTTGCACCCTCTTGACCGACTAGAGGCCAACAAATATTATTATTACTAATATTCAGTACAGTTCTTCTAATTACTTGTCCAGATTCACCATGGGTTGTGTTGTGATGTTCGGCTTTCAATTGTGGCCTATAGATCGACTCGAAAAAATACAAAAAAATAAGTTTTCGGTTCACTTCATCCCAATATTATTATTTGATCATCACCGATAATTAAGGCGTTGTCCTTGACCATACCTGAATCTTCAAGGAAAATTTGAAAGCGATCGTATGTAGGTGTTTGCGTACTCATATATTATTATTAATAACCCATTACCACACTAGAGGGCGGAAATATAGCCCTCTAGTGTGGTAATAGGTTACTAAATAATATATTTTTATTAGACTTTTAATTCCGATCGGAGTCCGTGACCTCTTATTAACCTTTTGATGATGATTTGCCAACAGCCAAAATAAGCTATTTATTGGTCATAACTACAAAAACAACACTTTGGAGATATCGTGAATATTGAAATACAACAACAAGATTTTTTGTGACTCAAATAATTTATCTTAAAAATATACAGTTAAAATAAAAATAACTATAGGCACTTAAACTTTTACACAAAACATCATTGTCAGTCCTCAAATAATTGTTCTATGTTATAATTTAAAATCTATGTTGAAAAACATCAAGTCCTTGCAATAACTTGAACTAATTGTTGGAGAGCCTATATAACCCCAATATATTAGTCAGATAAAATTCTAAATCGGGGTTCACGTGAAGGCCCAATTCAAATTTTAATTTGAGAATTCCCATTCCTGATGAATAAAATAGCTTCTTTCCCATTCAATTTCAAAATACATCAATATTTAAAAAAAGAACCCACATAAAGCTTTGGCTTAATTATCAAAATGTTAAAGTTCCTAGTCCAGCTCTCCAACCTGAGTGACTGTAATTTTATATTTATTTTTCTCGGCAGAAATTCTCATATTGATTCCTTTTCTTCAATGGACCCAATAAGTGTAACTTTTTTAAGAATAGGAGCAGATTCTTTGAATAGAATTTTTTTAGGACCTGCAGGGTAATTAGCGTGAATTTTTTAAAGAATAATTTACAAGGATCCGCATAACGATAAGCGATGGATTTTTTAGGGAATTTTTGTTTAAAAATATACAATTTTTTAACCAGCATATTTTTACACAAGGTCTTTTTTAAAGCGTTGGTTTTTAATTTAAAATCTATTTGAAAAACATCGCATAAAAATAACTAATTTTTTGCAGAGCCTATATAACCTTGGCAGATTAATAAGCGTGAATGTTTAAGGCATTTTTTTCAAACGATCAGCATAACAATAAACGTGGATTTCTTAAAGAATATTTTTTCAAGGACAAGCTGGTTAATAAATGTAGATTTTTTAAAGTATATTTTTCCAAGGACTGACTAGCTGACCAAAAAAGTGTATTTAATAAAGAGCATTTAATTGAATATTGAGGAAAAAACTTGGATTTATTTTTTAAGAATATTTTTTGGATGATTTTTATAAGTGTTGATTTTTTAAAGAATATTTTTCCATAGACCTCTATATGCGCGAATTTTAAAAAGAAAGTGTTGATTAAAAAATAATATTTTTTAAAAATAATATTTTCCCAGGGACGTAATTTTTTTTATATAATTTGTTTTAAAGACCACTTTTAGAGTGGATTTTCTAAAGAATATTTTTCCAATGACCTCTATAATTTTTTTAGAAAACAAATTTAAGGGCCAGCAGGCCAATATGCGTTGATTTTGTAGATAGTATTATTCCAGGGATATATATTTCCAAGGACCAGCAAGCCAATAAGCTTGGATTTTTTAAGGAATATTTTTTTAAGGATCGACAGATCAAAAAGCGTGGATTTTTAAATAATATTTTTTAAGCACCTGCAGGCCAATATGCATGGATTTAAAAAAAAAAGTTTTGCTGTAATTTGATATTTAATTTTCCAGAGCTAAAACAACCTACGAGCAGACAATTTATAATGACGTAGTCACCATATCGAATTATATATTTAAGAATATATATAATTTTGTTTTTTAATTTGATTCAAACCTGCATTAATTCAAGTATGTCCATATAAAATTTCAAATAAAAAATCTCATAATCAAAAATAAGGACTTTTTAATCACAAAAAAAACAACAACAAAATTGTAAATTATTTTTCTTATCTTTTATATGTTCAAATATATATGCGCAAAGCTACAAACTTTAACAAGTATTGGTATTACCAGCCCATTGAAAATTTAAAATCGAGAATGGGCGGCGATTCCTTAAGAAATATTAATTACATACGACATGGTGAAGGGTATAAAAAATTCCACTCGGTCAATAGTTTTAATGTTTATTATGTGGAGTGTGGACAATTTTCGAACAATGTTTCTACATATCGCCATCATAAATGCAAACGGACTTAACTACAGAAAAATTCGAAATTGACTTTTTGATTGATTATTGTTCGTCAAATGAAACTACATGTTCACACAAAAATTTAGACATCTCACGTCAAAAACAGAGATTTTATTAAAGAAATTCAAAAGGACGTAACTACAATATCATTTTTTTTATTAGTACAAACAGACGTAACTACACTCCTGTAAAAAAAAACTAAAGCTCGCAATATTGAAGATAGGAAATCAGAACTTATATTAATGTTACTTCTGGGATGTTTGATATTGGAAATGAGATATATCGGCCAATTTTTTACGGTAATCCCCATATAGAGGCTTTAATGTACCATTTACAAAAAATCGGACGAAAATATATGGGGGAGCTATGTCTAAATTTGAACTGATTTCAACAAAACTTAACACACATCACTCCGGACTCAATTTAAAATTATTAGTCACTTTGTTGTACTACAATTGTGTTGTAGTTACGTCCTTTTTGTTGTAGTTACGTCCTTTAAAAACCAAAAAAAATATGGTTAAACTTTGAAAAATTTTCCAGCCATGCTCCATTTTTAAAGATTTTATAACGTTTTTTGCTT